TTGCTTTTCACTGCACGTATTGCTGCATTCCAAAGTTAAAATACATGAAGAAAAGGTTGTAATTTCCTTTTATAAGAAAATAATAAAATATTAAACCTTATTAGAAGATTCACTAAAGGGTTTACAGAAGTAGACCAAATGGTATGCACGTTCAGACTTCAGAAATGCTTGCTGTTGAAACAGATTTACAATTTATTTAAAATCAGAACTTAAATTTTATACTGACTCAATTTTTCTGTTATAGGCCAGAACTATGATAGCAGTTGGCCTGGGTGTTGCAGCTGTTGCATTTGCAGGTAACTGAACAGCCATCTGAACATGCGGTCCCAGTGTGATACTGTGCCCAAAAGGGCTAATGCGATATATAAGCAGGAGCATAAGAAGTTGGAGTAGGGAGGTTCCATGTGCCACTGGTGAGACTATAACTGGAATATTGTGTCCAGTCTTAGTGTCCACCCTTGAAGAGGGATGTAGAAAAATTGGAAAGGTTCCGAAAAGAGCTACAAGAATGGTTTGATGTCTGGAAAACCTGATCTAATGAAGTTGAATGTGTTTAGCCATCAAAGATAATAAGAGGTGACTTCATCACAGTCTACAAGTACCTACACAGAAGGAAGATATGGGATAATAGAGTGCTCTTTAATCTAGTTTACAAAGGCATATCAAGATGCAGTGGCAGAGAGGTGGTGCGCCTTTTCTCCACTTTGAATTTGTCTAGCAAGTTTTAGCAGTGAAGGTAATTAACCATAGGAACAACCAGTGTTCCCTCTAATTTTTTATGGCCATGTGCGGAATGAATTTTGTTATGTGTACCAATATGGAGGTGATGTGTGACAAATTACCTTCATATTGGTGCACATAACAAAATTTAATGTGGTGGAGGTAGGGCCAAAGGGTTTGGAGTGCGGGAGGGGGCTCAGGGCTGGGGCAGAGGGTTGGGATGCGGGGGGAGGGGAGTGAGGGCTCTGGCTGGGTGGGGTGGGGCCGGGGATGAGGGGTTTGGGGTGTGGGAGGGGGCTCAGGGCTGTGGCAGAGGTTGAGGATGCAGGGGTGTGTGTGTGCGGGCTTTCGGCTGGGGCCAGGGATGCAGCTCGGGGCCGGGGGAGAGGTGCCTCTCCCCAGTCACGGCAGCTCCAGTGGGGCTGGGCTGGGCTGAGGGAGGGGCTCCTCTCCCCTGGCTGTGGCAAGTCCGGGTCAGGTCCGCACTGGAGCCGATGGGGAGGGGCGCCTCTCCCTGTCGGGGCAGGTACGCACTGGGGGAGAGGCATCTCTCCCCGCCGCAGCCCTGAGTCCCTGCGTGGGGCTTAATAGGCAGCTGTGCGGATGTGCAGCTTAGAGGGAACTTGGGGAACAATTTACTGAGGGAAGTGGTAGATTCTCCATCTCTTTAAATCTTTAAATCAAGCTGAGATATTAATTTGAAAGATAGATTCTAGTTCAACCACAAATTATTGGGTTTAATTCAAGAATTACAGGTTGAAATTCTATGGCCCATGTTACGTGGGAGGATCAGGGGTTCCTTCTGGCCTTGAAATATACAAATTGATTTCTGTTCACTTCAGGTAATCAAATCAAACCATATTAACTTGATTTCTTTGTAAACCTAAGCACACACTTGCACGATTGAAATGACCTATGTAGACATCTTGATCGTTAAGAATGAAAGCAAAATGCTATCTGGCTAAAGCATTATCTTATGTTAAAAAATAATTAAAAATTGCATAATGGTGACTAAATTTTCTAGTATATAGTAAGCAAAAAAACCAACCACCACTAAACAAAACAACAACCAAACAAAAAAACTGATAATTCCTACCATGGCTCTGATGCAATTTCAGACACTGAACTTAGTAGACCTACTCCATTTTCTTTCCCAAAATGGAGTAGATTTTACTGACTGATGAATAGAGCTCCATCCAGTCTGTTTTGTATTTAGCGAAGGTCATGGCTATGTTGGGTCTTTAATGGTGCTGGATCCAAAAAGACTCCATTTTTCACTAAATAAATAAAATAAGAATGCAAAGAATTACCATTCAGTGTGATATTGGTGCAAAGTTGTATGAACACTGTAAAGAGTAGATTTGGAAACAACTTTGAGCTGTACTTATTTTGGTGAATTACATTACAAATACAAGCTATAATTGCTAATTGCAGTATTTCCTACAATTTACAAGGCAAATATCTCAGTTTATCCTAGCCAAATATATCTGAATATATTGGCCAGGGGAAACAAACATTGTGAATCTTGCAATTCATTACTTTCTTTTTAGATAAAAAACCAAACTTTCCCCCTCTTCTTAATATAAAGATTGAAAAATGCAACCTATTGCAAACTCATCAGAGAACTGTTCTGGGCCTGTCTACAAACTGACAGCTCAGGGAACATCTTGAAAAGCTGTAAAGTGCTACAGTGCTTGCCAGCAAACAAATGACATGAATAGATTAAAAATGGAGATGGCTTTGATTTTTAGACTAAAAGTCCTGTACTGATATTATGCTTGCAAAATAAGTGTTTGCACAGGTAAACATCTGTAAAGGTTTCTTTAAGTGAAGTTTGATTTTTTAAATTATTATTTAATTGTTTTTCAGGTCGCTATGCTTTCCAGGTCTGGAAACCACTGGAACAAATATTAACAGAAAGAGCAAAGAAGATTGCAACCGCTGTAAGTTTAGAGGTTATTTTACCATAAAAAATTTAAAATTCTATTTAAAATCACAAACATGATTTAAAATTGAAGAAAAACATTTTAGGATATCTAGTTAGGTTTTCCAGTGCAAGATTATTCTCAGTGCTACATGCTCCAATGCTTTGTTCGGTGTAGTTTTAAATGCTTCCAGATGAATTTTTCCTCAACATAGGGGCAATGGACAAGGTTTCTCAGGTGCTATGGGGCAGGGATTCTACTCTCGCTATTTCCTAATCCCCAAGGCAAAGGGGGGGGGGAGGTCTCAGACCCATTCTAGACCTACGAGAGCTCAACAGGTTCACGGTGAAGTTGAAATTCTGCATGGTCTCCCTCAGCACTATTATCCCTTCCCTGGATCCGGGAGACTGGTATGCCGCCCTTGACATGAAAGACGCATATTTTCACATAGCTATTCGGCTGGCACACAGACGATTTCTGCAGTTTGTAGCCAGCTACAAATACTCTCAATTCACGGTCCTCCCCTTCGGTCTGTGGACAGCCTTCCGAGTGTTCACCAAGTGTATGTCGGTCGTAGCAGCATTCCTCCGCAGGAGACGGGTGCAGGTATATTCCTACCTCGACAACTGGCTACTCATGATGCGCACCAGGGAGCTGGTGGAGTCTAAAGTCTGACTAGTCAGAGTTTCTTTTGAGAGGCTGGGACTCCTCAGAGTGAACAAGTCAGCCTTGTCACCGACTCAAAGAATAGAATTCATTGGTGCGGTGCTGGACTTGGTGCAGGCAAGGGCGCTCCTGGCAGAGATCTGATTTCAGACCATGACAGACATTATCCAAAACCTCAGGAGGTAGCTGACCACTACCGTGAGGGGATGCCTGAGTCTCCTCGGCCGCATGGCAACTTGCACTTATGTGGTCTGGCATGCCAGACTGAGGCTCAGACCATTTCAAGCATGGCTCACGTCTGTATACTGCCTGGAGCGCAACAGCCTGGAATCTGTGGTCACGATGCCAGACCAAGTACTCGAGTCCCTCCAGTGGTGGCTCAACCTTTGCACAGTGTGCAAGGGAGTCCCCTTCAAAAGCCTCTAGCCCTCCTTGTCCCTAGTAATGGACACGTCAGTTCTGGGTTGGGGGGCGCATCTGGGAGAGCTCCAGACACAAGGATTATGGTCGCAGGATGAGCTCTCACTCCATATCAATATCAGAGAGCTCAGAGCAGTACAGTTAGCATGCCAAATCTTGCTATCCCAGCTCCAATTCCAGTGTGTGGCGGTAATGACGGACAACACCTTGGCCATTTTTTACATCACCAAGCAAGGTGGAGCCTGCTCTTCCCCCATTATGTCGGGAAGCCCATCAGCTATGGGAGTTCTGCATAGAATGCCTCCAGGTGAATGGAGTGGGCTATCTCCCAGGTGTGCAGAACAAACTAGCGGACTACCTCCGCAATCACGAGTGGGCCATGTGTCCGGATGTCATATATTCCATCTTCCAAAGGTGGGGGTTTCCCCAAGTCAATCTGTTTGCTACCAGGAGCAACAGGAGGTGCCCAATGTTCTGTTCCTTTCAGAATCACAGCCCGGGTTCAATCTTGGATGCGTTCCTGCTTCCCTGGGGAGACTGTCTCATGTATGCCTTTCCACCATTCCCACTCGTGCACAGAGTACTACTGAAAATCTGCAGAGACAGAGCTGTAGTAATTCTGCTGGCCCCAGTGTGGCCCCGTCAACATTGATACACCACGCTTCTGGAGCTGTCAGTGGACACTCCTATCGTGTTACCACTCTATCCCGATCTGATCACACAGGACCACGGTCACCTTCACCATCTGGACTTCCAGGCCCTCCATCTCATGGCTTGGAGCTTTATGGCTAAATCCAGTGAGCTGTGCTCGGAACCTGTAAGAAAGGTCCTGCTTAGCAGCAGAAAACCATCCACCAGGGCCACTTATCTGGCCAAATGAAAGTGGTTCACTTGCTGGTGTGCCCAACATCACACTCCTCCACTCCAGGCGTCTATTACACTCATCCTGGAGTACCTTCTTCACTTCAATCAACAAAGCCTAGCAGCGTCATCCATCAAGGTATACCTTGCTGCTATCTCGGCCTTCCATCCGGTCATGTCTGGACGCTCCATATTTGCTAATCCTATGGCAGGACGTTTCCTTAAGGGCCTGGAACGGCTATATCCTTGGGTTAGACAGCCTCTTCTGGCATGGAACCTTAACCTGGTCCTCTCCAGATTAATGGGACCCCCATTCAAACCGCTAGCAACTTGCTCCCTTCTCCACCTGTCATGGAAGGTAGCTTTCCTGGTGACCATCACATCAGCCGGTAGGATGTCGGAGTTAAAGGCCCTTACCTCCGACCCACCCTACCCAGTCTTCCACAAGAACAAGGTGCAACTCAGACCTCACCTGGCTTTTCTCCCTAAGGTAGTGTCACAATTCCATATTAGCCAAGACATTTTTCTACCTGTCTTCTATCCCAAGCCCCACAACAGTACCCAAGAGCAAAGGCTGCACTCATTGCATATTCAGTGGGTGTTAGCATTCTACATCGAGCGCACAAAGCTGTTCAGGAGGTCGAACCAGATGTTCGTGGCAATGACAGTCTGCATGAAAGGACTCCCGGTCTCATCTCAAAGATTATCTTCCTGGATCACAGCCTGTATCTGCACATGTTGTGAGCTGGAAAAGGTCTCAGCCCTGCATCTTAAGGCTCACTGCACAGGGGCACAGGCTTCGTCAGCTGCGTGCTCCTGGCCCGGGTCCCGATACAAGAAATCTGCAGGGCAGCTACTTGATCCTCGGTGCATACATTCACCTCTCACTGTGCCATCACACAGCACGCTAGAGATGATGCAGCTTTCAGCATAGCGATTCTCTAATCAGCAATTCCTTAACTCCGACCCCACCTCTGGGGTAAAGCTTGGAAGTCACCCGATTGGAATCGATGTGAACAAGCACTCAAAGAAGAAAACACGGTTACTCACCTTCTTGTAACTTGTTCTTCAAGATGTGTTGTTCATGTCCATTCCAATACCCATCCTCCTACCCCTCTGTCGGAGTAGCCAGCAAGAAGGAACTGGGGAGGGGCCAGGTCGGCAGGGTCATAAATTGAGCACTATGAAGGCGCTACTCCAGGGGGCTCCACAGCTGACCCGATGGGAGCTACTGGGGGAAAAATTTTCGGCAACTATGCACATGGCGCGCGCACACCTGATTGGAATGGACGTGGACAACACATCTCGAAGTACAACAGTTACAAGAAGGTGAGTAACCGTTTTTTTCCTCCCTTCCAAATTCCTTCTTTAAATCTTTCTTTTGGTTAGCTTTGCAAGGATAGTCTCCAGTCAGTGCAGTTTCTTTCTTCTGACTTGTCCTACTCTATTTGCAAACTTAAAAATTTCAAGCATCATACTCAGCATCTTTCACATGTTCAGTGTTTATTTGTTATAACCTTCATCCCTCTGTTTTCTTCCTTGTTTGCCATTATTTCCTCTGTGTGTCTTATTTAGATTAAGTTTGCCAGGGCAGGAACAATATCTTTATTTTTCTCTAAAGTGCATTGTAAATTTATGGTCCAGTATGTGTATTAAAAACTGTCCAACAGCAACCAACATTTTTTGGCATTTCTGTTTTACAAGTATCTTCTTTCTCTTGAGTATCGGTGTTGGGATATGTTTTCCCAGAATGTATCAATTTAATTATTTTCTGCCTGTGACTCAGAAGATGTGGGCAAAGCAGAACAAAACTGATCTTTCCATCTTCCAGCTGTGGAAGGAGATAGCATATAGGGTACCCTTTCCCTAGGATCCTGCAAAAGACCCTGCTCCCCAAACTCCTTTGTGCTCTATCTGTATGGTTTTTGTGAAGAGGGATTCAAAGCTACAGAACGTAATCAATAAGAGAGTTCCTTCCAGTACCCTCTGTCTTCAACCTATTGCTTTCCGGACAATGTTAGCTACTAGTTCAGTAGTCATCACAGCAATCATTACTTCTGCTCATGCTGCTGGAGTATACATTTAATAGTAGCATAATTGTCTATGGTTAATGTTATCATAGGAGAGACTAGCCTAGCACATGGAAATTTTGGGACCCATGGGTATGGGCTGTAGTTCCCTGTGGTTCACCTCAAGCTCTGTATAATCAGAGACCTCACCCAAATCCTAATTTTATTTGTTTGCAACAATTCCCAGTTAATTACAGTCACAGAGTAAACCACATATTGATTTTCTTCCAGATCACTAACTGAACCCATGCTGAGTGATTATTAAATGGTCATTTTAAAATGCCTGTATCTTGTGTGTGTCGCCTATTTTTTATGTAAGCAAAAAGCATGAATAGTCAACAATTCTGGTAATCTTTTAATTAAGATTAGTAACTGAAATGTATTGAAATTTTCTCTGAATCACTGTAACTTACGGCAGTTAAGTATATATACATAAGTGAAAATACTACTAAAGTCCAGCCTTCAAGTTTCCACTGTAATATGTTATTTCAGTGAAAGGATTAGAGGAAATATTTTGTGTTTTTAGGGGATTTAAGTGTTTACCTCACCTACCATCTCCTGTAATGCGGCTTTTCGAGAGAAACACATCTTTTCCAATTAACTTAGCTTTTCAAAGTGTCATTTGCCACTGATGTCACTAGTGCTGCTTACACTGTTCTGCTAATTCTGTGGTGACATGAGTCTGTTGTCCCCAGAAAGAGTGAAACATTAATTAGTCATTGGTTTGCATTACTGAGGTAGATATTACCATTATTCTAACTTCAGTCACTTTTTAAAATAAGAAATAAATGAAAAGGAGGTATTTTAATGACACTACCTTGTTGAATTGTTGATACATATGAAGACTGAGCTGTAACCATATTAATTCTAAGACAAAATCAACGTCCATGGCCCTCAGTACCCACAATCATGGAAATTCCTTATTCCATGATGAATATATCCCCTCTTTGGCAAACATTGAGTACTACAATAATTAGTTTGCAATTCTCTCCTTTCCAGTCG